GCTGGGTACGAGATTCAACTTTTAACCGCCAGGCGAACAAAAATAGGGTTCCTAGGGGAAACGTTAACTTCTGAAATAACAAAAATGTTAGGAATCTTGACTGTGACGCACACAAGGCTGCCAGGCTCTCTAGGGTACTGGAGCAGCCCAGCTATCTGGGGCTCCTCCGGCTTTCCAAAGCCAAGGGGTGAAAACCTCCGTCAACATACTCTTTCCACGCTACCCTATGACACTGGTGTTTCCCTTGAGGGAAAAGAGCATCTCTTTTTATGAGGCAAGGTTTAAAGATAGCGGGGCGAGGTGGCAGCGTGGAGAAACACGGAGTTCCCTGCGGGGCCCGTGTTTGCGTGCCCTGCTCTGCCCCTTGCAGATAAGGATGGCGCCTGCAGGGAAAACCCGGTGCCTCCCTTGGGCCAGGCAGACTCTGAGCTTTGACCTGGCACCTGGCAGGGGCACGTGCAGCGCCAGGGAATGGCAGGACCTTTGTCAAATAGGTGGTGTCTTACAGGAGCACGGGCGTTTGACAGCGTCCTCGTGCCGTGGCAGGACCTGTGTGTCCATTGCAACCCTCCTTTCTCCAAAAACCTGATCCTGGATGCGTGCTATGCTGTGTGGAGGATTTCTTTAAAAAAAAAAAAAAGAAAATCTGTGGAGGAATGACCGTTGTGGTGGGGCGTAGGGCCACCAGTGTCCAGAAACATGAGGAGCAGTCTTTGTGTAGAGCACGTGTCGTGCGGCCGCTTGGTCTGGCTTCTGCTCCCCGACGGCTCTGCCAGGGGCTCCTTGGCTGCATGCTCTTTAGGGTGTTGGTGGTGATTTCCTTGGTAGAAAAAAATCAAATGTTAAAGTGGAAATGAACCAGTAAAACTGCTGCAGAAATGCTAAGAGGACTGTTGTAGCTGATCAAAATAATGAAAATTTGTAAGTCAGAATTTCTACCTGCAAGCAGTGATATTTTCAGGGCTGTATAACGCTGCCGCCTAATAGGCGTGACAGCCTTTATCTGCGAGGAGGCGATGGCTGATGGAAGGGGCTACAGCCCCCATCTGCCATGCCAACTCAGTTGATCCAGGGCTGTACTGACACCAATGCTTTTTTCCTCCAAAGGAAGCCAGTGCATGGCTGCTTTAAAGTTTTTATTTCTTACTGGTGCGTGGAATTCCTTGCTGCAATGTCCCGAGTCGTCTGTGAAGAGACATTGCAGAGCGTTACAGGCATGACACGGAGAAGACGCTGAGTGTAATTTATTTAAACAGTTGCGTGGCTTTCGCTGTTGAAATTTTTGTGTCAAATATGAATCTTTTTGTGTTGATTTGTGAAATGCTGAGTCTTGGAGATAAACTCAAATGAAGTGAAAACAATTTCTCTTGCTTACAAGCAAGGAGAAGGAGCCTGTGAAAAGCCAGAACCGCTCCCAGGTCTGCCTGAGGACAAAAAGCTGTTTCATCTGAGGGATTCTCAAGTGTGTCAGATTGCAAGACGCAGCAGGACAGAGACTGTTTGCAAATAGCAGCCTGGCAGTCGGGAGTTTAGCTGCTGCTAGAAACGCTACAAAGCCTTGTGGTCAGACAAATGGCGTTCAGTAGGCTAACCAGGCTGCAGCGCTATTTCTTTCCCTTGCCCCCTTCCCTTCTGCATCATGAGCACCTCCCAGCCTGTCCTTTCTGTGCCTCTGGCGCGTAGCCTGCGTGAAGTCTTTCTCTCTGCCCTATTTCCGTCCCTAACCTAGCTTGTTTGCATTCTGGCTTCGCAGTGCTATAAGATCCTGTCTTTGCTGTGGCTTCAGATGAGCTCTGCTCAGAGGGTGGCCAGGGCAACCCTCCCTGGGCCGCCCCATGCCCTCTCCCCGCTGCCCCGTCCTGCCAGCACCATGGCTTGTTGCTCCGTCTTTTGGTTCTGCTGTTTCGTCTCGACTTGGATCTGAGGAGGCTGATAAGATGGGAGAAGGAGATGGGGCAGATTGGGAGGTCGGACGTTGAAAACGAATGGAGAGAAGCAAGCTGGAGGGAGGGAGGGAGGGAAAGGAGTGCGCCCAGGAACACGTGACGGCTGGGTCTGGTGGTGCTGGGTCATGGCATGGCTCACATGGCAGTGGTGCATGTCTGCTTGTTATGTCACTACGTGCTGCCTTTTTTTCTTGCCTTAGGGGGTGTGATAGCTTACATCAGCTCTTCAAGCTCGGCATCTAGCCCAGCCTCATGTCACAGCGAGAGCTCAGACAGCGGTTTCCAGTCGTCCTCTTCGCCTGTACCATCTTCTCCAAACAGCTCCTCCTCCGAAAGCGGCTGCAACGGCCGGAGCAGCGAGGGCTCTGATGGGGCACCGAAGAGCGATCGGCTGGAGGAGACTATTAAAACAAACCAGTCGAGTGTTGCTGGTTTGACAAAAGGCCACAATGGAGTCACAAGTATGTTTGGTGCTGGTTCCTAAAACACCGTTTTCCCCTTATATGTTACAACCCCGTATGTTACAACCAGGTCTTCTGTGTGGCTTGCTGTGAGGACACATAGCAAAGCCTTCATTTTTATCTTTTTGCGTTATATGCATGGTAATAGATAGGGTATTGCCATACAGATGCTAGTAGGTGGAGGTCTCATTGCTGCTGCCTTCAAACAGTCCATAAATACGGTCCGGCTTTACTTCAGATTTTCACTAGTGAAAACTGATCCTAATAAAAATCAAACACTTGGTTAAAAAGATGCAATGAAGTAAAGGTAATAGTAATCAGAAATTGCCTTCAGGAGTGTTTATGGAGCTGTCCTGCAAATCTAGTTTCTCTGGTTTCTTTTCATACTCCCTCTCCTGCCCTTTCACCTTCCCTCCCCCTAGATTTCTTTGAGGAACAAAACAAATAAATTACCAAAACATTGTATTATATTTACATAGCTGCAGCCGGGACCTTTATCTTTTTTATTTCAACTAAGTCTTAATTTGTGGATGTAAAAGACAAAGTACTTGTAAGCTGGAACTAAAGGATAGCTTTTTAAAATGCATTTAACAATCTAGCTCCAGCTGTTTGCTCTGATTACCAAAAAAAGTGTGAAAAGATCAGTGATAAAGAACTATATTTGAAGAGTTTTGGAAGGGCAGGAATCAAACTGAGTACTGGAATGAGTGTTTCAACAAACAGTCAGCTGGAATTTAGACTAGTCTTTTGAAGGCTCAATTCTTTTATTGGCAGAATTGTTTTATCATTTTGAATTGTTGTGAAGCTAGAATAAGTATCTAACAGTTCTACCTTAGAAGTTGTTTTGTTTTGTTTTGGTTTTTTTTTTTTTTTAAGTGTTTCTACCCTCCTAGCAACTAGGTTTTTGGTATCAGGGCAGAGGTTGCTGAAGATGAAACCTGTTGTAAACTGTTCAGATGTATAGATAGATAACATTTTTAGCTCAGTACTAGCTCTGTTAAGAAGAGGAAAAAAAAAAAAAAGGAAATTTTGTGGTTTGGTTCTTTTTCAAAACCTTAAAAAAAAAAAGTTTTTGTTCCTCTTTACAAATGAAACCCAAATGTCAAATAAATTACTTTTCTGGTAGAATATGGTTCTGTGGGAGTATGCCCAGCTGTCTCTGTTGCTCACTGTTAAGGTAACTTAGGGGTTACTGAAGTCACTGATAAAATTCCCATTGGCTTCAGTGAAACCAATGTTAGACCAACATTTGGGACTTGCAAAAAATCTTTATTGATATGCTGAAATAAAACAGATGGGGAAAAACTTAAAAAACCCAAACCATGAGCATATTTACAGGGCTGAGAAGGTATTTTCAAGTCCAAGTGTGCAAGCATGCCATTCTGGATATGCACTTGAATGAGTAGTCTTTACCTACGTAGATGTGGCTGAGTTACCAGTCCTAATTTGGTATCAAATAGGTAGAGCATATGCTTGTTTACAATATATAATTAAAAAAAAGCATCCTTTAATATTTTTGTTTTTAAGAAAAGATGTTTATTTTCTGTTGGGGAAACTGTAGCCTTTATATGGGCTTTCTTGTCCACCTGGAAAAACAGATTGAGCCTGAACTTTGGTGGCCTAGTTAACTAAATGGTCCTTTTAAAAGTGCGTAAATGTAAGCAGACTTTCTTTTTCTACAGTTGGTTGAGTACAATACTACTGTGATTGAAAGTCCAGTGAATACGTGCTTTCTCCCTGTTCTGTTGAGTGCTTCATGTTTGTCTTTTTTCCCCCGCTCCCTTGCACTGGTACCTTCTGAACTGTTCAGGGTTTTTGTACATTCTTTTTGTCTGTTCCTCTGCTGCATTTATTTGTATGTTGAACTGACCTGACATATTTTGCTTTTAGTCCAGGTTTTAAAAGCTGGAAACATGTTCCTGCAGTTGTCATTGGTTTTCTATATCCTTGACTTTTCTGTTCTGATTCTAGAATTTAATGGCATGGTTCTTCTTTGCAAAGTCTGTGGAGATGTCGCTTCAGGATTTCATTATGGTGTTCATGCCTGTGAGGGCTGCAAGGTGAGCTATATTTCTGCTCACCTTTCTGCTGGTGAAATGCTCAAGTTCTCCCCATAGGGGAAAAGGGATGATACTGCTGAAAAAAATACTGGTTTGCTTCTCTGTTAAACTTAAATCTGAGAATTTCAGGCAGTGATAAGTTTTAGGAAAAGGCAAACAACTTGGCAATACCCAGCATTTTCCAAACTCTGCAGTGCTTTCTGTTCTCGCCCCTTGTCCCATCCTGCCTGACTGGAGTGCACGGCAGAGAGCAAGAACTGGAGACAGAGGTGGTAAGGACCATGTCACGCAGGACATGTGAATGTTAATTGCATTAAGAGATAGTGGGTGTGAGTTGTCACCTGGTCTGGGACACAGCACAAAACAGCTTTGGAAAAGCACTTCTTACCATGGGGAAAGCCAGAACCGGGTGCTTGCATGTTCACGCATCAGTAGATCTGTATTTCCTGATACTGTAACACTGCAAATGTTACGTTCTGTGAAGGAGTTTATCAGCTTACCAGTTATGTGAAAGAACCACCTTTGAAGGTCGTATGGTGCAACAGGATGGCTTTGTTGCCAATCTGTGGCGATTGAAGTCAAAAGATCTGATTTTGACTTTCATCTTTGCATTCGATGTCACAGGAGATTGAAAGCATATCTTATAAACTGGCAGTACAGTGATAGAAGTAATACTGGAGATATTTTGCTCTTAGGTGCTGACTATGCAGGGAACAACTTAGCATCTTCTATAATTAGAAATCATAACTAGTTTGCATTATACACAGATCACACACAAAGGGGAAGTAAGTCCTGAGGAGTAGCAAGACCTTTAAAATCACTTGGGGCTGATAGCTCTGAAGCAGCTGATGAGACGCAGTGAGGTTTTCTGTGCTTGTGGAAAGGTGAATCTTGGCAGGAGGATTTGACATGTGCTGTAATAATAGTTGTGGGGGTTTTTGTTTGTTTGTTCGTTTACAGGGTTTTTTCAGAAGAAGCATTCAGCAAAACATCCAGTATAAGAAGTGCTTGAAGAACAACAACTGCTCTATAATGAGAATGAATAGGAACAGATGCCAGCAGTGTCGTTTCAAAAAATGCCTGTCTGTTGGGATGTCAAGAGATGGTACGTTCCTCTACTAAGCAGTGATCCTCTGAGCGGGAATCTGCTGCCCACCTCAAAACCGATTGCTAAGGGTCTAAATGGCAGAAAATGCAGCCAGCCCTATTGTCAGGGGCAGGTTCCCTGTCTTAAGAGCATTTAGATTAGCTTGCCTTCTTGCTCCGTGACTTTCTTGAACTGGTAAGGTAATACTGGCCACAGAGCTGTCCTCCTGTCTCTGGAGGGAGTGGGATGCACTGCGGTGGTCTGTTAGGGGGACAATTGTAACAAGAGTCTCAATTTTGTTTTAATGAATTAATATTTGTAGTTTTATCCTGCCTGAATCTGAGCAAGACTCTTCTCTCTTTCTTTTTTTTGTTGTTTTGTTTTGTTACCGTTGCTTTTTCAATGAAAGGGGATTTGGCCCAAGCCGATAGCCTTAGAGTAATCATTATAGAGCTTAAAGAGTTAGGTTTGGGTGCAAGGGACAAACATCTAACTGCTCTTTTTTTTTTTTTTTTTTTTTTTTTTTTTTTCTTTTCCTTTTCTTGGAGGGAGGGGGAAGGCAAGGAGTAATGTGGAGCTGTGTCTCTGACCACCTTGCTGGCTATGCACTTCTTGTGACTTTTTTTTAAAATGTAATGCTGAAAGTCTAGTTCATTAGTCTGCTACAACCTACTGTCACAAACCAGAACTCTTCCTTCTGTTTCACTTTTTAATTTTCTCTGGGTGTTTATTTCACAAGAACTAGGAATCTTGGGCTGTTAATAATTTAGTGGGTGGAGTGCTAAAACTTATTTTAAATAATTGTTCTGAGTTCTTGTCGTGCATAAGAGTTATTTCATCCCCTAGGCGCTTGTTTGCGCATAAGGTTGCACCTGCTTTAATGAAAGAGATTTAGTTACATTAATGATGGTCTACGGCATGAACATAATTACATCAGTCGAAACTGGTTATAAGCCCTTGTAAGGCTGTGGTTGGACAGGATGGTAGAGGCAGTTGTAGATTCCCTAAGACAGGGTCAAAAGTGCTGCAGCCACAATGATGCCCATCCCCTTGCCAGCAGAAAATGTCCTTGTCAAGGCCAAGTCATCACGAAAATTTGCCCAAGGTAAGCTTCATTTGGCATTGATTCTCTTAACTGTTTTGGCAAGTTATATAATTGGTCTATGAGAAGCTGTCCTGTAGGACTTCTGTTCAAATATGATATGAACTACGTTTACATTCAGCTAATTGTCAGCTCACAAAGTTGTGCTGATTTAATTGATCCAGTCTTGGAGCCTGACACTTAATTAACTAACACAACTGTGTGTGTAGTCCATAGCCAAGTTTGTAGCAAAAGGGAAAAAGGCTTTAGAGATTGTGTGCTTCAGAGCTGCCTTCTCTTCATATTTAAACAACAGCATACATTTCATGTCTCACACCCATCCTATGCCAGGAAGTTTCTTGACCTCAGTGGTAATACCCCTGCTGTAGTATCGGTGAGAGCAGGTAAAGTCTTCCCTTAAGATTTTTGGTTGGGGTGTGTATTCTGTGTGTGTGTGGGCTAACACTTTCAGGATTGACCTTTTGATTTGTTTTGTTTTGTTTTGTTTTGTTTTTCTTCCCTCTACTTTTCGTTTCTCCCCCTTGGTAGCTGTTCGATTTGGCCGTATTCCCAAACGTGAAAAACAGAGGATGCTGATTGAAATGCAGAGTGCCATGAAAACCATGATGAACAGTCAGTTCAGCGGTCACTTGCCCAATGAAGCATTAACAGAACATCAAGATCAAGCACCTCAAGAAGACCTTTCCTCCAAGCCCAAACAAGAGCGCGAAACCATCAAAAGCCCTTCTCCCCCTCCTAGTGCTGACATGGCTAAGGAAGAAGTGATCGGTATGGTCACTAGGGCCCACAAAGACACTTTCATGTACAACCAGGAACAGTCTCAAAACCCAGCAGAGATGATGCAGTCCCAGAGTGGGGAGAGAGTGTCAAAGAACACTGAGCAGTACATCTTGAGCAGCGAGCACTGTGTTAGTGGGCTCGGTGGCCCTCAGTACCCTGAAAGTGAGCAGCACCTTGGTGGACAGTACAAAGGGAGAAGTGCAATGCATTACCCAAGTGGACACGCCATGTGTTTCACAAATGGCCACTGTATGAACTTCACCAGTGGTTATACTCAGCGACTGTGTGATAGGATCCCAGAAGATGGCTTTTCTCCAAGCAAGAATACCACTTACTCTTGCAGCACTGGAGGAAGAATGCATCTGGTATATTGATATCAATTGTTTGATTTCGCTTAGTGAAGGGCTTACTGATGGGTGTGATCCAGCTGTGCCTCTTTAGTCAGTGAAGCTGCACACAATTGGCACAACTGCTGAAACTTAAATAGCGACACGAGTTTGATAGCACAAATTGTGATGGAGAATAAGGGCTCGAGTTGTGTGGAGGATTTGAAATCATACAAGTGATGGGGTTTCTTGGCTCAGTTTTTAGCTGACTGAAAGTAGACTAATGTCAAAGAGCATTGGCTGAAGAAAACTCACGTGTTTTTCAACTGGATTGACTTGAAAATGGATGTTAGGAGTTTATAAATTACTTTCTTCATTCAATCCTCTTGAGGACTTCACTTTAAAATAAGCTCCGTGCTCAGATATGCTGTATTTTCCTTAAAGGTATTCAGAGCAAATTTCTGGGGTGAAACCTCAGGGCTAGGATTTTAAGCCAGTCTGTCTGCACGCATTGCTAGGGTGTTCTAAAATCTCTCTTGCCAGGTAGGCTGGGATTTTTTTGTTTTGTGTTTGGTTGGTGGTTTTTTTGTTTTGTTCTAATGGGGATAGGTTTATTCTGTTATGGGCAATGTAAAATAGAGGCTCAGCGGGACACTCAGGCTATGCATCCTTTTCCTGTAGAACATACTCAAATCTGAACAGAGGCAGGAGGAAGACGCATGGCTAAACCGCTTGAGAGAAGCTCAGGGCCTTTTCTGTACTACTTACACAAGCGAGGCTCTGAACACACTTCTGGGTACCTTAGATGACTTTGCTAGAGCGTTTTCTCACTGAATTCTTAACAAGGATGCTTCCTGTTTTCTTGCATATGGGTTTTGTTGGTTCCCCCCCTCACCCCCTTTCCTTAACAGGTCCCTCCTGTTTGCCTTGCACCTGCTGTTTCTCTGCCATTCAGGCAACCAGTTCTGTAAGCCCCTTAAAATAGATTGTCCTTCTCTTTATCTCTGGAACTGCCTGGGATGAGAGAACATAACATCCTTGTTCTCATCCTGTGCTCCTGTCGAGAAGTGCGAACCCCTGACCTTTCTGAAGTACTCGAGCTGCTGGTGTTTTTCTTCCTCCTAGTTTGTAAAGGGTCTTCACAAGTTCTGGAAGGCCCCTGAAAGTCTCCACATAGTGAAGGCTGTTTGTTTTGATGCTGGATTTCCTTTTTTGTTGGGTTTTTTATTTGTTTGTTCTTCTTTGGCTACTGCATATGTGGACCATGCCATCCCTAGCAGGCTCTGACCTTAATTGCAGACTCTGGGCACTACACCATGGCAAACAGTAATCATTCGCAACCTTTCTTCCTTGCAGGGAAAGTATGTGGAGTCACTACAACGGCATTCTTGGCACTCCTGAGAAGCAGAGGTTAAACCTGTCAGTATGGGTAGGCAGGGAGTGACGCTGCCTGCAGAGGCCCAACCAGTCAGTTTGACCTGTGCATAGCAGCTACAGGGAGGTTTAATGCAGCCAACGATGAGGAAACAAACCCTAATCCAACAGAGCATTGCAGCCCCCTCCCACCCCCGCCACATCCCTGACATGAATGAAGGTTTTGCCAGGGAACTCAATGAGAGCAGGATCTGACCAAAATGAGTCAGTAGCTGTAAGGGAGTGTAATTAGGCTCTGAACCAGTATGGAGACAGGTGTTCAGGGGTTTGGTTTTTTTACTTAATACCCCCACAACCAGAAAAGCAGAACAGGTCATTCCTGAAGAGGTTCCTCTGAAGAGAGCTAGTGAGTGCACAAGCTGACAACTCCTCCCATAGGAAGGACTCCTGGGCAGAGGTCTCTCTTGAGAGCTTAGACATAATACACAGGGGCAGAAAGTAGTGGTTTCCCCTCAGGACTAGGTGCCTGGGAGCTAGGGTAAACCATGGTAGGATGAGAAACAGAAGTGCTTTTTGTGTCCAGTTCGGAGTGGGGTGCTGAACCAGACATTCCTTATTTTCAGAGAGTACTGTATTTTTTTAACAATACATGCGTGAACCATTGCAGTATTGTGGACAGAGCAGTGGTTAGTGTCTGCTGTGCTTCTGGGTGTGTGTCTAGACCTTTCCTTTTGCCCAAATATTTTATGATTTTCAGTTTACGGAAAAGGTCCTCCTCTACCCAACAAGTAATGATTTGGTTTTGGGTATTGTCCTCAGGCACACAAATGGTGTTGTGATTCACAGCTGAAGCAAGAAATCTGCAGTTCTCTTCCTTGTCTTTTGGGGAGAGCTTTCTGCATATTGACTGGACTGCCCAGTTAGTAACTGGTATTTGGGGAAAAAAACAAAACAAAACAGGAATGTATATCTATGTATCTCCATCTTGTTTTCCCTAGCTGTTGCCAAATACATACGCACACACGCGCGTATATACCTGTTGAATATATTCTTGTAATGTATCTTAGTAATGGATCTTAGGACCTTCCACGCAAAGAATTGCTAGACAATTATCAGATTCAAGATTCCCTGCAAAAGCATCTGAGGAATTACTAATCTGTTTCACTGTTTTCTGTTTGCTTTGCTGACATTATATAGGATTACATACACCGTGTAGTATACTTGTGACTGTTTAGTATACTTGTGAGGAATACTTAAAGGAATTCTCATCCTTGATGATGACAGGTGAAATGAATATTAAAAGGTTTAAACTTCATTAAAAGTTGTGAATTTTAGAAAGCAGAACTGAAAGTATCTCAGAGCATCTGTTTGGGTTTTACAGAGGAAATTTATTGGCAGTCAGCCTTGGCTGATATGTGTGATCTCATTGTAATGGATTCAGAGTTTCTCACAAAAAGTCACTGCATGTTTGTATAAAGGAAAGAGTATTTTGTTGTCTTGTGGCTGAGCAAAACTGGAATACCAGTTCCTTGGTCCTCCTTCAGTGATACATATGAAAACAAACACATAGGAGAGGTAGGTTGTCCTGGTAATGAGGGTGTAAACCTGTGACTCGGGAGACCAAGGCTCAGTTCCTTGCTCTGGTGTTGACACCTTTGTCACCTTGACTGAATCACTTGAGTTGCCTGCAAAACAAGAAAGATACATGAGAATGAGTGTAGTAGTGACTGTGAGATTAAAATCGATTGATTGTGAAATCATGATTAGTTGTGAGATTACAGGGATAATACAGGTAAGAGAAATCCAGATGTCAGGCATGAGTGACCTCAGGGAAGAATAGCGTAACCTGGGTTCTCTCAAGTCTTTTGCTATAAACAATGTTGACGTTTCCAAGGTCATCAAATTTAGAAACAGACTGCTAATGGGCCGCCATGGGTTTTTTATTGTTTGTTTGTTTTAAAGGGAGGGGAGAAATCCAGTTGCTTTGGGAGTTGACTGAGGAATACTGATATTTTTTTCCTATATGCATCATTATTGCAAAGTTTTCTTGAAGAATAAACCTGCTTCTTTAAAGTATTTGTCAGTGTTTGGAATTATATCTTTAAGAGTTGTTTTCTGTGTATGTTTTGTAAACATCAGGTCTGCCCAATGAGTAAGACTCCCCACGTGGACCCAAACAAGTCTGGCCATGAAGTCTGGGAAGAGTTTTCCCTGAGTTTTACCCCTGCGGTGAAGGAGGTGGTGGAGTTTGCCAAGCGCATCCCAGGTTTCCGAGATCTCTCCCAGCATGACCAGGTTAATCTTCTGAAGGCTGGGACCTTTGAGGTGAGACCACTGTATGTTTAGTGTGGACCTGGCAAGCTTACATCAGGCTGACCCCCTTAAGAACAAAAAAAAGTAGAACTGGGTTATATCAGGCAAAACCAGCTTGTTCGTGGATGCTAGTGCTGAGCTTTCCTTAAGCTGAAGGTGGCCAGTGTTTCTGTTTGGTCAAATCTTGGTGAGCTGTCCCTCTTCCAAGTAACTCAAAAGTGCTCAGCCCTTTTGCCCTTTCCTCTTCCCTGGGCATTAATAAATTACTAATGAAGAATTTCTTGGTTTTGTATAGCAGCGGTTACTTTGATAGCTACCTTTGCTTAGCCTGGAGAGAAGCAGACTGCATCTGGAAGGGTGGATAGTTTAGAAAGCTATCTATTGATTTACCGGTTTTGTAGAGGAATGTGTTTTTCCGTTCTGTGTGCCCTTCCTTCTGCCACTGCTCCCTGCCGAAGTCAGAGCATCCATTCTGACCAGTCACCACTAGCCTTTGCTGGCAACTGGGGGTTGCTGAAGCCTCCATCGCCCAAGCAGTAACACTGATAACTAGCTGTACTGCTATAGCTCTGTAGAGACCGAGTACCAGCTGCAGCCTGACTTACTCCAGACTAATCCCACCAGGTCCTTGTCGTTCATTTCACCCACTTGCGAGCATGACATATATGTGAATTAGTGGTGTTAAATTGGGAATGATACCAGAGAGCTCAGTGCTGGTTTATAATTAGTGACCTTCACCAGGGGACCTTAATGTTTTAGTTGCTCTTCCAGACTCTTGTGTCTTGTTGGAGACCATGCACATTTTATAAGTATTCAAATGTGAAGTTTAAACATAGAGGAGCTGAAGTCCTAAGCATTCAATGTTGCTGTGCTTTTCTGGGGAGGGCAGGGTTGGTGATGCTTTTGCTCTTGTTTACTTGATTTATTCTTTCAAAGAGCAATGCTGGATTTCGTATTTACCTGAACTGAAGACATTTCTCGTGTAATGTGTTGGGTCTTTTATCTGCATTTATACAGCCTGGTTCTAAAATGGATAGTTGTTGGTTTGGAAAGTACAAGTTATCCTGGAAGACTTGGTGCCTGGGGCGTGTCAGTTTCTTTGTTTCTTCCATTTTGCTCTCATGTATTTTTTTTCCATTTTACTTATTCTTGACCTTTTAATACTCATCGACAACTCTTGTAGCTAAGGGCTGTATTTTCACTTCTTCAGCTACAGCCTCTTACGTTGCTGTTCACATTACACAAGAATGTTGATTCTTCCTCTGCAAAGTGGTATACTGTCCAGTGCCCTCAAGGAGGGTGGAAAATCAGGCTTGAATTGTTCCTATAATGTAAAGCCAAACCTTCATGCTTTGCAAGTAAAATGTTTTGTCTTGGCCTTTCTTCACCTCAAGCTTTTCACAAGCCTTATTCGTATGCTTTTTTGCCAGTTACAAGTACTGCTGATAAGAAGGTTTCTATATCCAGGGGAATTAATAATAATGTATGGCTGCATGCTTATCCCTAGTCACTTGTTCATAAGAAACAATGATTTCTGTTAGTGAGCTGGTACCTGTAGTTAAAGGCCTATGTGGCATCTTAGCAACAGAAAAAAAAAAAAAAAACCAACCCAAAACAATGCCTTTGAGCAGTGGGAAAAAAAAACAAAACAGGATTAATGAAACTGTTGCAATAGAGGCAAAAGCATCTTGAAAGCCTAGTGCATACAAGTCATTTCTGTCTTCTGGGTAACTAAACTAGGATATCCCAACATCTGCACATTATAGAAAAACCTGAGTAAACGTACTGCCTCTGAGCCTGTTTTGGCTCCCTTGGGCACCAGCGTGTGGTTGTCTTGGCACTGTGCTTACAGCAGCTCATATTCAAGGAGTGCTTGTTCGTTTGGGGGCAAGACAACGCATGGAGACAATGTTGGTGCAGAAGCAGCATAGGTATATATATTTACACACATGTAAGCTAAAAAGCCCTCTTAGAACTGGGAGTACTTCAGTAATACAGTATACAATAATACAACATACATCAGTATATTGTAGTGGCATTTGCATGGCTTTGTATGGGAGCCAGCTCAGAAACAGCAGTGAGCCTAAAATAAGGAACTCAGCTGGATTTGAACAGGTCCTCCCGCAATTCTACAAGCCCCCACTCCAAATGTAGTGGATGGTAGACCTAACAAGCCTCTTGGATCCATTGGGGTAGTGACTCAGTTTCTCCACAGACTCAGAAACTTGGTAATTTGGCTGCAGGTAGTGGAGATGTGAGCAAGCACTTGCCTGTGTGGAGGGGTTTGTGTGCTTATATTGCTGTGGTCAGGTGATGGGGTTGATCAGGTATATCCTCAGCATGCACAAAGGAGTCTGGCTTGAAGTGAAACAGGATGAATCAATCTTGCTATACCGTAGTCTAAACTGTTCTTCCTTGGGTCAGAATGGTGACACTGAAATCTATAGGTCAGGTCTTTCCTTAGTATTAAGGCAGCACAGCTCCATGGGCTTCAGTTTTGAATAGCAGCATCAACACTGGTTCCTCATTATTTAAAGTTCATGTTTCTAAAGCCCAGTTCTGTAAGGGGAATACCATTTTGAACTGAAAGGCTGTTGAGTACCTGGTGGGTCCATGCTAATGCACAAGTTCAGCTTTGTCTGTCTGCCCTTTGTCTCCTTTTATTGTATTCTGAGGGCTTTTGCACCTAGGTTTCTGCACTCTGTAGTTAATGTCATCAAAGGACATATAGCTTAGCTGACAAAGGTGAATAATACATAGTGCTCATGTGTCCATCAAGATTTCTGCATGTTATTTGGCTGTTAAAATTTAGGAGCAGGTCATACAATGTGCATGAATGGTGTTTGAATTCTCAAACACTTTTTTTTTTTTGAACCCTCCTTTTTTAAGCTTGTCAAAGGCACTAGTCTTTGCTGAAAACCTGGTTCTCCTCTCCTCTGTAGTAAACATTTAAATTAATGCAGTTATGTAGGGTAAGTGAGAAGAGACAGCTGTCACACCAAGAGATTACAGCAAGTCTGAAGTTTTAACCAATGCCAGTTGGTTCATTTTCTCCAAATAAGAAGGCTGTTTTGTGCAACTTAAACCTTGAAAATGTAAATAAGGTTGTTGAACGTGAGCAAATTAAACTTTACAAGCCATTCCAGAGGGAAACATTTCACAGTACGACTGGGAAACCACAAGAGAAATTTCAGCCCAGAGGGGTAAGTTCAGCACATGTCAACTGCTCCAGCCCAGGTGCTTATACCAAAGGGGTATTCCCAGCTGCAGCTACAGACCAGGTGCCGTTTCAGGCCCCGCTTCCCTAGCCTTTTGAAGGCCGTACATGTGGCTCCTTTCTACCAGAGCTCATTAACATTCCTGTGGGTACAGCAATGCGGCATGGTACTTTCCCAAAGAATGCCTAGGGGGCCAGATCATCAGGTGGTGTAAATCAGCATTGTTTCAATGGAACTGCTCCAGTTTACACCAAGCGAGAATCTGGTTCTATACCTTCATTTTGCTCCTCATAAGTGTGGCCAAGAAACCGTTTCTTTTAATGCTCTGTATGCCTTTGGCTGTTCGGTGGCTTAAGCAAGTTGTCCTACTGGCATATTTATGAATGGCATTGTCTTTGTGGCTCAGGCTCTCTGAGGCTTAAATTTTAATTTTCCTGCCTTTCATGCGCTATAGCCCCTCCCCTGCATCCACTCGCTAATTTTTTTCACTTGTTTGTTTCTCTCAGACTACTGGGCCAGTGCTTGCACTGTTTTTTACAGCTCAATAGCATGCTGACAGTTTCTGTATAGAATGCTTGTACAGCGGTTAATGAGACAGTTTGGATGATGTCAAAAGGTTTAATTTTTTTCTTTGGCTTTTCTAGAAATCCACCTATATTTATCTGTTTTTGTTGTTTTTTTTTTTTTCTTTCACCAGGTTTTAATGGTACGGTTTGCATCTTTGTTTGATGCAAAGGAACGTACCGTCACCTTCCTGAGTGGAAAGAAGTACAGTGTGGATGACTTGCATTCAATGGGAGCTGGTGATCTGCTCAACTCAATGTTTGAATTTAGTGAGAAACTAAATGCCCTGCAACTTAGTGATGAGGAAATGAGTTTGTTTACAGCGGTTGTCCTGGTATCTGCTGGTAAGGAGAGAAAGTTAACTTGCACCTTTGCCAAATTTTGAATATGGCTCTCTATTAAAAGATTTCTGTAAAATGTGTACCCTGTTATTTCAGGTCTAAGTGCAATTTAGTAGGTTTTAAGCTACTAGCAGCCTGTAATTTACTTTTTTACATACCTGCTCTTTCTAATATTGCCTTTTGGAAAAATGCGACAATGGGCTTGTATTTTCCTGCTACTTTCTGTAGAATGCAAAAATACATCTCATAGCTGTTCGATGGCCATTTAGAAGCTGTTTGTCTTCATCTGAGTTTCACAGGACAGCATCAGTGAAATTACTCCTGACTTGCACAGCCTAAGTCTTGGGATAAGGTGGTATTTTTACTTCCAAGTATCGTCATTGAAGTCTATTGCATATCTTACTTAAGTCTAAATCCCACAGTTTGATCTCTGCCTATGTCAGCAAGAAAGCCCTATTTATCTGCATCGTGACTTCTTACTGCTAAAGGTCTGCCAATCCACTAACATCTTCACCGGCCTCATATCTTGTTTCAGTCCCTGGATATACAGAACACCTTGGCCCAGATTCAAAGAAGGATTAAGCACCTACTTCTGTAGTACTATCTAAAGCCTCAAATTAGGCACATTAGCTCTGCATATAATGCCTGGAATACAAGATGCAGAATCCCTGTTTGCTGGGTAAGGAGCTCTCTAGAGGTAGCTAGCAGGAATGCTAGTAGTGCCCACTTACACAAGAAGCCAGCGTTTGGGGGCCACTCACTTCTTGAATAAGTGCACCTCTTCCCCATGAGTGGTTTAGACCCACATCTTTCTTATCAAGGAGGGGCACCCCAGACATGGTGCTGTAGGCACATGAAGCTTCTGTGAACAAGGTAGGGCAGTTGAGTCTAATAGCTTTGTGCATGGCCTAAGTGAAATGTGATAGCACAGGATGGGGCAGCTGTAGCCTCTTCAATTTGTAAGTGATGGTAATGAGTAGAGAGGGTGGTACAGAGTTTGCAAGCTTCAGAAGCCAGGACAAATGGCAGCATGAAGGAAGCATGGCACTGTAGTCTGTTAGTGAAAATGTTCGGGTAGCAGAGAGAAACCTGGGGGTTTAGTTGCTTTTCCAGACTGTGCTTTACATATTTTATCTTTCAAAAACTAAATTGACAAGAACTGGACACAACCTTTAAAATAAGGACTGAGAACCAGGCCTCTTCACTCCTTGTGCAATGTCATAAGTAGGCTACAGCCACTCTTCTAGCTTGCTCAGCTGCTGGGCCCTGGAATATCACAGTCTCTGTGCCACCTGTTTTGAATGTAAGTGGCTGTATCTGTTCTGTTAAATGTGCTTCTAGCACAGAGCCAGCACCCACTCCAGCCTTTTAAGCACCGCTCCATGCTGTTGCTAGCTCCCAGTAGGGCTTAGCTTAGGGATGGTTTGTAACGTGTACAGCATGTAACATCAGAGCCGTGTAACAGGACAAAAAGAGGAAGTGTTTGGTATTCAGGCTTCCTGCAGCTGCTGAGAATTTTTCAGATCATACCTTTGGACATTATTGCTACCTGTCTTGGCTCCCTTGTGGTCTGATCTGCAGTCTGATCACAGCCTTCCTGGACATCTTCACAAAATAATTCTAGGGTTTTATAAAGTACAACTTCATTAGTCTTTTAATGTTTGGGCCCAAACTTGCATTTGTACCGTATTCCAGACACAATAGTAACCTTGATGGTCGCTGTGAGTCCAGCAATTTTCAGATCAACTTCACTCTCTAGCTTGCAACTGAATTGAAATGCTGCAGTCATTACTTGCACAAGTGAGTAAGTGAGCAAGCTTCACGCTTGAGCAGGTACATAAGAACAGAAGTGCCCCCAGCAGAGGTCCTGGGGAAGATGCTCGCAGTGCGAGGGCTTGCCAGGGGCAGGAGGTGCCTGTAGAGCTGAAGGATTGTGGGCACCTGTTGATTAAACAGATCTTGAAAGACAGATCCCCTGCACCCCACCCCTCAAGGAGGAGTGTGACTCGGAGTCCTTTCCCGTAAGGTGGAGGTGGAGCTCAGTTAGAGAAGGAGGAAGAGTTGAGGAACAGCTTCAGAGAGAATGACATGGAGATGCAGGCAAAGGCAAAAGATGCCACAACTGGAAGAAGAACGGAAGGTGGAAGAATAAGGCCGTTAAGACTTCTTCATCTCAGAATGAAAGTTACTCAAGAGAAGATTGAAAGGAAGATAGAGTAGTCAAGATTTACATCAGTTCCAGAAGCAGACAGGAGTGTGTGACTGTTGAATCCTGATTAAGTGATCTGGAATATAAAATACCATGCTGCACTAGTTAAAAATTAAAAGATTTTCAGTTGTTTAAAGTTTAAAAAAAAAAAAGGTCAGTGAAAAAAAAGAAATGTTTGTAAGTCTCTAAACAGTGCTAGTGAAGAGAACACTTGTCAGAAGCATCTCCACATAACACTGGATGAATAACCACTCTTGTGAGGCATTTTTAGAATGTGCAAAGAAACAGCAGGGGTAGTAGCAAGGAATGTGTTTAACTGTACATCCTCTTGTTTCAGTGTCATATGGCAAAGAAAGAAAAAACAGGGCCATACAATGAGGATGTGGGAGTGTTTCTGGTGGTGCTGAGGAATTACCTTGGTACCATTCCAAAACTAAACGCTTCACGTTTGGCTTCAGTTAGCTGGATATTTTGAAGGTGGAGGGAAGATAGCAAGATGGATCATGGGCACTGAAGAAGGAAGAAGCAAGGTGGAAGTAAAGCTGAAAGAATGTGGTTTGTGCAGGTCTAGAGACCGCATAGTCTCTCAGCTGAGGGTGATGCATTGTGGTAGAAGGATATAAAATACACACCCTCTGTTATTCTCTTTTATTGGGATAGTGCTAACAAAAACTTCCACTGGCCACTGGGAGCAACTGGCAGTAGACTGAGAAGGAGAAGAAAGGCTTGGACTAATGGAAGAGAGGAGGCTACAGTAACTCACCCAAGACAGCCGGGAAGGACTGGACTGCATTCTTCTGTCTTCAGAGGCAAGGCAGTACCGCTGTCACTGTACAGAGCTCTTGAGAAACCTCATCTGGCATATTCTGTGCAAATGTCATCATCCCTGCACAGGATAGAGCAGACTTAAAGGCTTTGCAAAGCAGGAGGCAAGTGGAATAGAGGCATCTCTTCACTTGTGCTGTCTTGGAGAGCAGCTATCAAACCTAATGGACAATCTTGAAAGAAGAGTGGAATATGTGCTAATAAACATCATTTGATATTAATCAAAGTTTCTAATTGTTAAGAGTAGAAGGTTCTGGAACAATCTTTCGAAAGGAACAAAGCACATGAACTGCTTCAAGGTGGATCCTTAAGTGGATTATATAATAATTTTTCCCACAGTGGTAGGGAACTGCACTGAATAGTTCAGGAGGACTTCCTAGACTGTTCACCTGAGAAGCCTGATTGGATTGACACTGAGACCATAAGGAAGGGATTCCCACTCTGACTGTACGATCTGACTCAGTGCTACTCCGGAAAGCTGTTGTCATTCTGTGTCCCAGTTCTGCAAAGTGCTTAAGTACATGTACACATCAAAGCACACTCCTGTTCGTGTCCGTCACTCGTGTATGTATGTGCCCTGCTGCATTTACATAGCGTTTAAGAAGAGAGGCTACAGCTTGGAAAAAACAGCTAGTGTGCATGGTTATTAGGCGAGACGTTTTGCTTAAAAATTCATCCTTTCAAGCTGCTTACTTAGGTTCCACCTAAGGACAAGCATGTTCTTAAATACAGCTTTCTTGAAAGAGATGCTTCTTCAGGCATGGGGTGAGTGCCATATGTGAAAGCATAGTATTTTTCTTGATGTTGAAATTCTTCTTTTCTTCCTCAGTTGGGAATTTTTGGGTGCATCATGTTTCATTTCATAAGTGCTTCTGAACACACTCAGAAATAGTACCCAGTCATGTCCAGGCTTGTACTCACTTTGCCCCTGGGCATCCCATTGTGCAGATACACGTGTGGCTTGTCCTGAGTGTGATTTCCTCCTCAACCATGAACCTCCAGTTTAAGTTTAGGGTTCTGTGTCCAGCCTTGAGAAACGTTTGAAATTTTTACTTCAGTGTGCCCTGTTTCTCTCCTTGCGTTCAAAGTTGTGATTCAGCAAAATATGCAAGTGGGTGCTTCAGTCTGTCCTTTTCTGGAAACGTGGGTAAGTGATTACAGAAAAGGTGACTGAATGCTGCCAGTTCAATGTGAGATTAATACTTCGCAGAGTTAACACTAAATAATGTTTGAAAGACTTTTGGTATGTGGGTTTGAAACTTCTGGCATAAGTATTTTATTTTTCTTGTGCTTCTTAATTTAGTGAGTGATTCTTTCAGTGGCTTTATGTTGCAAACTACATCTGTTCAGTCTCTTTTTTTTCTTCTCTCTCTACCCTGCCCCCCTTCTCTTTAGATCGCTCTGGAATAGAAAATGTCAATTCTGTGGAGGCACTTCAGGAAACACTAATCCGTGCATTAAGGACCTTAATCATGAAAAATCACCCAAACGAAGCCTCTATTTTCACAAAACTTCTTTTGAAATTACCTGACTTGCGTTCCTTAAACAACATGCACTCTGAAGAACTCTTGGCCTTTAAAGTTCACCCATAGGCCTTTAGGTCTCATTTGTTCTTGGACTTGCCTCGTGTTAAACTGTTTTGTGCTAAAAATATGTATTTATACAGTTGTACCACTTGTTGGAGAGGGAGAGTTCACAGACTGTGAACAATTGATAGCTGTCCCATAACCATGCAATAACGCTTCAGCAGGTGCTTTCAGCTAACGGCGGCACAGCATTCAGAGCCCTCCAAGATGTCCAGACCCAGCTGTGCCGCACTTCTGCAGAAGTTGCGATGAGCCCAAGTAAATATGGACTGTTCTTTCACTTAGGAAAAAGAACCACCACTGCCCTCTCATGTAAACTGAATGCAAAATAGTTGTGTATGTGCATACGGAGCATGGAACGGGGTGGGAACAATCCTGCGCTAATAGGACAATGGAAGAGCTGATTTAATTGGTCTTTCACTTATCTAATAGATGTATGTCTGTGTCTCTTGATAACTCACTCATGGTTTCACTGTTGTTATTCCATTAAACTGGATGGAATGATTTCAGCCTGCACCAACTCTTCACTGAGCGTGTGTTCATGCCATGTGTATATAATATAAATAGTTAAGTAATGAGTGTTTATGGCTATATAAAGTACAGAGTTGTGTGTATATATGTGTATGTATATAAATAGTTCTATACATAAAGTATACATATAATTTCTTCACAATATTTTAAACTGTGAAGGAATTTAAACTTACAACAGAAGGTGATCTATGGAAAGAACCAAATAGATGCACTTTGCATATTGCTGAACTAATTATCTGAGCATTTCTAATTTTTAGAAAACATCAAATTTGCATTAATATGCTGTGTTTGTTAATTTAAAAAACAAAAACAACAGAGTGGCACCAAAGGGGCGGAGTCAGCTTCAACTTCCAGAATGGGTTCATAGAGAATCCCAAGTGGAGATGGTTGGTTGTGGCACTAATGAGAGTGATTGTCCATTGCCACTGAGGTTAAAGAAGCACCAGATGCTCTTCAAAAACTTCAGCACAGCCAGAAGGAATCTTACCAGATGAGTAACGGCATCTATCAGAAAAAAAATATGGGAAAAATGTATTCATGGTTGCGTTTGGGTGTATGTGTGTTCTGTGACCATTTATTTCTTGCAATACATCATTTTGCTGCTTCATTGCTAAATTGAGAACTGAACACGGAAATGTGGAATTCCCCATGTCTTTTCACAATCTGGGCTTTGTGGTTCCCATGCCTGTTCTTCTGGAGCTCTCCATTGGTGTGTGTGCATGTGCGTGTGTGTGTATGTGCAGAGAAGGTGCACTGGATGGTCTGGATTTTTTTCTTAAAAAAACACCACAAAAACCAAACAAACAAGTGGGACTTTTTTTGTTGTTTATGCCAGTAGCAAATTACAAAGCAGATCCTCAAGGCTTAAGATTCTGCTGCTTTTCCGTCTAGGAAAGTGGCTCTCTATGGGTTTTCTCCATTTGTAGCAGGGCCTGGCACCAGAAAAGAGAGATTACAAACAGTCAAAGCAGTTGTGTTAATTAGTTATGTTTATGTTTTGCTAATGTGGGAAGAAGATGCTCCATTACCCTTGTGTTTAGTTAACTTACCTTAGAGGTGAGCCCTCTGGGGCTCTAGCATTCGGTAACACTGCTCTGCAGAGGGAGAGACCTCTCCCTTCGTTACCGCATGTAGATATATGCGGGAGTTGAGGCTGGGAGCCGGAAAGCTGCCAGGCTGCAGAGCTCCTCCTGGCCGTGCAGGAGCAGCTCTCGCACAGCAGCGAGTCGATGGGAGCCCTCGTGCCTGCCGCGGAGCCGGAGCAGAGGCAGACCTCGGCCTGCCCCCGAGCATCAGGAGCTGGGCAGGGGAGGGGAGCCTCGTGCCCCACCATGGCTCCGGTCACCTTTGGGCTGGGGGATTTCCCCTCGGAAAGTGGTAAGGAGGGCTGGCCAGGGGGCCGAGAGCAGGAGGAGGCAGGTGCGTGCGTAAGAGCTGGGGAAAATTCGGCTTTAGCCTTGGCGAAGGAGCAGAAGAGCCCACCCTTTCCCCTCCTCTGCAGCTGCTGCAGGGAGAGCCGTTTTCCTGCTTCAAGCTACTTTAACCACTGGATAATGGCCCCTTGATACGTACAGTTTTGCTATCCAAATGTGCTGTCAGGGCATATTGTCCTAATTTCTGTTAACGGTCTGCATCCTACCAGTATTATTTGTTTGAGAGCTTCACTGAATTTTGCATTGAACCATTTGGACTTTAGAATGGACACAGTCACATGTTTTTTATTATTATTTCGGAGCTGAAATAACTTCTTCGTAGACCCCATTTCAGGTGTGGAAAGTACAGTTAACCCTTGGTTGTTTTGGGAGGGAAGGAGGCTTCTTACAGAGATTGCCACCCTACAACTGTGTTGTGTTTTGGGTTTGTTTTTTTTTTTTCCGTCTTCTTAAAACTGTATTATTAAGCCTTTAGGAATGTATAACCAGGACTGAGTAATTACTGCTTATTAAATTTTTAGTTAGATTGACCATGTATGCCTATAGATAGATATTCTAACTTGTGCAATTTTATTTGAAATAATCTTCCTGTACATAATGGAAAAACTCATATAACAGACAAAAAGCCCCAAACAGATTGACTGAGCAGAAAAGTTGATTAAAGTACAGTTCAAAAGTGACCCACGTATTATAAACCTTAGCTGGACTCTTAGAAGAAAATCTAAACTCATCATGTTAGCTGTGTATTGTGAGCTCTTCTTTTACCGTGTCACTGGTTATACACTTGTTAAACGCTGAGATAATAGACTTCATGCCAGGCATTTGAGTACTGTAGATTGGGTCATTGCTGAAAGATTAATGTACTGTATGACTTAAATGAAATTTTTATTCTTGATTTTATTCTTGATTTTGTTCTTGTTTTAAAAGATTAAATATGGGCATTATGTCAGCAAGCTAAACTGTGTTTCTGTGTTCTTTGTATTTTTCTGTACGAAATCTGGAGGGGAGGACAACATGCCGAGATGAGCAAAGCAGCAGTAATGGATGAGAACATCAGCTGCTGTGAGGTCACGGGGGCTGCACTGGTGCACAGTGGCTGGGAGCCCGTATCTCGGTCTGCCTGTCGTATGGGCCTGTCTTGCCAGGTGGTTGGATGGGGTTTTCTGGTGCACTGTGCTTTATTACAGTTAATGAACTTTTTTGGGTAGCGTCATTAAAATAGTTATTTTAAACACCTTCATTACATTTTAAGAATATAACCTAACTGAAAAAATATATACAGTTTAGTGTTTGGTAAAGACAGTCTTAAAGCTAGGTTACAAGAGGTAGATGGAAAACAGCATGCGAAGGGCAAAGATCCATTCGATTTTTTCCAACTTGATTTCCTAGTTGAAGTGTTTACTGTTTTAGGAGATGAGAGAAGCTTCTCCAGGCAATGCTGTATCTATCAATGTTTTTTAAAAAAACCCAAAACCCCAAAATCCAAACAGAAACAAAATTGTGACTGCCAGCACTGGAAAAAATAACAGCACAAAAACCCTTTCTTTTTTTCTTGGCATGTTTTCTCTGGTGTCATGTTTGCATATGGCTTCCCTTGTTGCCGCCAAGTCTGAGCCCCCGTGAGCAGGGCAGCGAGCCACGGAGGTCCCAGGGCTTGGGAGGTCCTTGGGAAGAACTCTTTGGGAAGAGCTCTTTCCAGCTTTCGCAGGGGTGCTCCGGATGGGCCACGAGTAATTTTTCCCTGTTTAGCTGTGAGAGCCTTGCCACAGCAAATGGGGGAACAGGACGGGGAAGCTTCCCAGTAAAAACACGATTCCATTCCCCCTCTCCCACCCTCCCAGTTTGGCAAGATGTTCTGGGGATGGGGACATGAAGCGTTTGGGCTTGTTCATGGGAAACTTGCTGGACTTGGAGTTGGCAGTGCCGACACAAGTGTGAACGTGCCTCAGCAGCCTGCCCCGTCCCTGTCCTCGCTCCACGAGGAAATGGTGAATGTTGCAAGGAAAACAAAGGTACGACTGTCACTGTGTGAAAGTATAAACTGATGAGGGTGTGGGCAGCCAGCTGCCTCCTGCTCGGGCTCGTGATCCGTGGGCTGTGTGCGGGGTGGGAGGGAATCAGCGTTCGCAACTGAACTGCAGAGCACTTTGATTATAGAAACAGTTTGTACAAGGAAATAATTTGCACTTCCTTTTCTTTGATGAGTACAGCGAGCAGCTGCCAGAGCCTTCATCAGCAAATAGGACTTTTTTTTTCCTTTTAATGTGGTTTTTTTTTTTCTTTTAATGTGTTTCTTTTTTCCTTTTAATGTTTTTTTTCTTTTAATGTTTTGTTTTTTTAAGGTTGAAGTGTGGAGTGGGGAGGGAGGAACATCCAGGTATGGGGAGAGTCCAGAGATGCCCATCCCTGACAGCCAACAGAGCTGCAACCGGCAGCTTGGAAAAAACATTGCGGAGGCTGTGCTCGCTGGGCAGGAAAGTTGGTCAAGGACACAGCCGCATCGCCAGCAAGAGAGAGGAACCGAGCAGGCGTGCGTGGAGGCTGCACGTTCCCGGTTATCAGGAACAAACAGGTCTGAAAATTCATGCCAACACAGCTTCCCTCCATGCAGACACTGCTCTGCTGCACCAGGCCCCTTCACAGAGCAGTTTATACCTGCTGGAAATGTACACCCTCGCACTTCTGGTTTGAGGCAGAGCTTGCAATGATAGAGGGCTGAACTCTGCTGTCTCCTATAGCCGTAGAAACAAACCGCTTCTGCCTGGCCTGAATCCCCAAAGCGGGCTGCGTGGTTGTCCATGACGTTTGCTGCCCTGCATTGCTCCCTGGGAGAGCCTTTGCCTCTGGCTGGAGGAGGACCCTTGGGGTTACTTGTAAAGTTACATGCTTAAAACTGGGGGGAGTATCTTCTCGAAGGGCCCTTCTCTCTGCCCACCACCCCCATACCTCAACTTAAGAAGACCGTGGCTCTAATTATTTCATGCAGTGGCACCGAGTGCTACTTAATAAGGTGGTACAAAGGCAGAGGCAAATAGAACATGTTAAAAGCCCATCTGGCCCAGAAGTTGCAGCTCAAAATGAAGCACATCTAGAGAGGCCTGCTGGGTTACTGCTGTACAACAGCTCTTCTCCATCATGTGTGATGCTCCGTAGACCTCATGCAGGCAGCCCTGGGTTAGCTGCAAAGGCTAGATAATTGCTGCCTTGGTTTCCATTTACTTAATGCAGATACTCAAAGCTGTGTGATGCAGAAGCAGTGGTGATGGTTTATAAAATGAGGCTGACACTAATGCCCCACTTTTATGCCACTTTGGCAGGTTCAGTCACCAACACACAGCTGAAGATTGCCTCTGACCGAGGCTGGAGACCAACTCAGTTCCCGCATAGTCCCAGAATGTGGGAGGATCTTGAGGAGAGCCTCAGGTACCCCTTGCTCCCCTTCTCCCTGCTCCTTCAGCCCAAATGCAGGTGAAGAAGTCCCGGGAAGCAACCCAGATCTGTGCATAGATGTGACATCCTGATAGCTGACTTCTCTTCTGCACAATGCTCTGGAATAGAGAAAACACATGGATAAATGGCCACCTAACATGTGTGCCCGGGTTCCCAGTGGCAGATGACACAAATTATTTAACAATGGTGCATTTCCACAATGTTTAAACTAGTACCTCTTAGACTGGCTTATGGTGCAGATCGGTTCTCGTTGCATGGAGGATTTTTTTTTTCTTTTCACCTTTTTATCCTTGCCCAATAGCAACCTCTTCGGCCTCCTCTCATGCTGCTTAATGGTGTGTGTGGCTTGGCAGCCCTATTTGCTACTGTGCAGTGTGCATTTGCCCTCTGCATGCCCACGCACAGGCT